CCTGGAGGCTGAAGTCTGAGCTCAGGGTGCCAGCATGGTCGGGTCCTGGTGGGGGCCCTCTTCAGGGTTGCAGACTGCAGATTTGTTGCATCTTCACATAGTCGAAAAAGAGAGACCAAACCTTCGGCCTGTTCTAATAAAGACACTATTCCCATTCATGAAGGCTTCACCCTCATGACCTAATTACCCCCCAAAGGCCCCACCTTCCAAGCCATGACATTGGACGTTAAATTTCAACATAAAAATTTTGGAGGGACACAAACATTCAGTACCTAACAGAAGGCCACAATGGATGCGACATTTGCTTGATGAGAAACATTTTAATTGTCTGTGTGTAAGAAACCACCCCAAAACTTGTTACAGCTTCGAGCAAAATTTAGGATTGCTAATGGTCCTCTGGGTTGATGGCAATCCCTTGGGAGGTTCTCAGTTGGGGGCTGTTGCAGTTGGGACTGGTGTTGTCTAAAGGCTCAGCTCCCAAATGAGCTCTTCACTCATATGCCTGGTGCCTCAGTGGGTTCGGTGGGAGTCAGGAGAGCTGGCCAGGTCTCGCTCTCCGAGCAGCCTTGTCACGTGACCGGCTTGGCCTTCCTCCCAGGGTAGCGGGCTCAGGGTTGGACTTCTTATAGAAGCATGCATTACAAAAGCCCTAAGCCAAAACTGCAGGGCTTCTCTTGAAGGACATTGCATTGGGGACTTTTTGTATCCTCATGGGGATTTGCAGTATTCTGTTTTGATATTGATGGGAAAGCTTGAGAATTTAGAGGGATCTGGGCACACACAATGCAGAGCACATTATACTTAGACACACACACACACACACACACACACACACACATATATGTATCTCAAACTTTTTATTTAAAATAAATTTGGACTCATAACAAAACCCTTCTCATAAACTTCATTTTTAATGGCTGTATTATATTCAAATTTATGACAACACTGAAACTTAATCAGTGTTCTTTTAATGTCGATTACTGAAAGATATTTAATTAAAAAAATAACATTGCTACCAACATGTCTGATAAATTTATTAGGAAAGATTCCTTGGGTAGTTTCTGAGGCAAAGAATATAAATTTTGGAGAGGTAAACTGCCCAATTGTCCTTTAGAGAAACATCTAACAATTTGCACATCACCTGCAGTGCAGAAAATGTTCTCTCACTGGAAGGTTGGTCTGTAAGTCGGCTTTCGTCCTCTCTCTCCCCTTATTCTGTTTGTGCCCCACCCGCTGTGGCCACGTCCTTCTCCAGGGCACACCTCCTTCTCCAGGGCACACCTCCTTCTCCAGGGCACACCTCCTTCTCCAGGGCACACCTCCTTCTCCAGGGCACACCTCCAGCTTCACCTTTGTACGGGAGAACTTGCCTCTCCCCTGCAGCATGACTACCGGGTCTGAAGCTCAGAGCCGTCCGCCAAGGACTCAAAGGGTATTCCTTCACCTGGGCAGCTCCTGGCTTCCCGCACCCACACTGCGGGGATGGGGAGACAGTGGGGTGGGGTAGGCTCTCTCTGGTTATGAAAGGAAGGATTCCTCATTCTGGGACCGGCAGTCACCAGGGGACTGGGGCTGGAGACTGAAGGACGCATCTTCTAACTGGACTTCAGGCGTCCTTCTCATGGGATGGACCTCGTGGCCTCATTGAGGAACAGGCCCCTTGTCATCTCACAGATGCCAGTGAAGAAACTTCTGCAGTCAGCCTGAATCCTACCACTCCACTTCTTGGCTGGCAGAAACTGTCCCACAAAGGCCCAGAGGCGTCTGCCTGCCTGTCTTTTTTTCTCTCCGTTCTCCCCGCCCCAAGGTGCTGAGCCCCGACTTGGGGCAGTGGGACGTAAGGGAAGTGACAGAGGAGCAGAGAGCTGTGCCTGGGATGGAGGGCGAGCTCGGAGCCCTGGGAGAGTTGCGTACACATTCAACTTGGGCGGCCTGGGCTGCAGGGGGCTGGCGGAAGCCAGTCAGTGGGGCCCTCAGAACCTCAGCTTACTTCTGGGTGGGAGCAGCAAAATGCCTTAAAATGACTTCACCACCACAAAGTATGGGTACTCCATGACAAATTCTAAATATTATTTTAGAATTCCAGAAGCAGTTTTAACCAACAAAAATGATAACTAATTGTTATACAGCATTTACTTACTATGTGTCAACAACCCTAGGAGGCAGGTCATTTCCCTCATTTTTGTAGGTATAGAAACTAAGGCACGAAAAAGGCAATGTGACTTGCCCACAGAGCTAGTAATCAGAAGCCTCGTTTCAAACCCAGGCAGTCTGTTTAGGCTTCCTAAAGAACAAGAGAGCTTGTTTTAGCATTTCTGGCATTGGGATCTGAAATAGCAAATACATTCCCCAATACAGGTGGCTTCAGGATCACAATACCATTTCACTGTACTCTTTCCTCCTGGGTGATGGAAACCTTTTCACTGAAATTGTAGGAAACCAGTGGAAGCCTGTGGCACAAAGACCCGGCTCCTATTTGGAGCTGTCTCCCTGGTTTTGACCCTTGCCCCCTTTCCAGAATCTTGGATTCTACATCCTTTGGAGACTGCAGACTCCAGGTTCCTCTCTGTCCTGAGTCAGGGGTAATCCTTTCTGGAAATTTGTGCAACACCATGGAGGGGGTTCCTCTTGAGGTTCTCCAACTCACTCAGGGGCAGCAAGGGGACAGCAGTGGAGCTGGGCCTGGAACTTTCCACTCCTGGCTGGCCACTGACCTCAGAGACATAACATGAACCCACTGAATCTCAGTGCTCTCGTATCACACAAGAGCAGCAGTCCCCAAACCTTTTTTTTTCCTACCGTTCTTCCTCTTCCTCAAGAAACCATCACCTATGGCACTGCACTTCCTAAAGTATAATTTAGTTTCTCCATTTTATTAATCAGACAAAAATAACCCCCAACCGACCTTCTGTTTAGCATCCATTGACCATGGCTACTGTCTCAGTTGATTAAATTCTAGCCAATAGAAACATTTTTCTTAGCTTGGGCAACCCTACCTTAGGTCAATGTATAGATCCTTCTCAGCTCTCAGAATATTGAAAATTGCACATCAATTTCCTGAACTCCTTCCCTAATACAGAGAAGCCTGGAAACCATGGTGAGATGATTCCTAACACCTCTCCCAGCTCTAATGTTTCACTACCCTGGGCTGTGCTGACCGCATCCAGGACTCAAAGACCATCCAAGTTCAGGATCTGTGCTTGTCTGTATCACTTACCTTAAATACAGGGTGATGGTGTCTGTCCTTACGGTACTCCTGTCCTCACAAAACCATGAAAACCATGAAATGGCCCTTCCCTTGGGCAAAAATTCTATCAAGGAACTACCTGCTTAAATTGCTCCTTGGCCTTCAGGTTTGTTTCCTGGGCTTGCTTCCATCTCTGACCAACACCTCCCATCAGCACGTATCACTGATTTTGATAGACTCTTTGAACAAGGTTTGGTCCCGTATTAACCACACATGGGATAACCAAGGAGCTGTTGAAGAGTGAGGATTCCCCATGACAGTTGGTCTTCAGCTCACACAAAATCCAGGAGTTGACTTAGTATCAAGATTCTCAGTGCCTTAAAGGATAGAAGAGCCCCAAGGCCAGAAGGATGGGCCTGCCACATTTCTCACACTCACGGTTTCCCCCCTCAAAGCTGGCCCCTTCCAATTCCTCTCTCTCTCCCCTCCATCCTGCAGTAACTGCCTATCAGATCCCAAGAGAAAAGGACTTTATCCCCAACCTCACGCTTGGGAAGTAGTGTTGTTATAAATAGCCCAGCTTTGGCTGCTCCGCATCTGGAAAGTGGATGGGAACATGATAATGCCAAGACCATACTGGGGAGATCCAGAGAAAGAGTAACAAGGGTGTGTAGCCCTCTCAGCTAAGGGCCCAAAGCACCAGCTCCAAGTGATCCAGAAACTTCTGATCCACAAGAGCCAGCCTCAGAAACTCAGGCCTCCGAGCCGTTTCCCAAACTCGGTGTAGCAGATTATAATACTGTTTGGTCCCCATCCTGTGGAACAATGCATTCTGGCCTGCCACAATAGGACTCACACTATTTCCTGTGAGAGGAACACACTCCTCTGTAAGATTTGCTTCGGTCAGTGGACATATCCACCACTGTGTCTCCACCAGCTCTTTTCTCCTCTGTAAGAACAGTGTGTTGCAGACAGGTGCTGCCCTTCAGCCTGGGTCCTGAGAGAAGGAAGTACATGCAGCAGGGACCCAGCCAACGATGGCAACCAGTGGTGGCAACTGTTTTCTTTTCAATCAGTGGGTGAAAAGAGAACACGGTTGTTGGCAACCTCTGAGATTTGGGAATTGTTCTTGAAGTATAATCTGGCAAAAGCTAAAGTGCGAGGGGTTACAAAATCAATGCTTATGGGCAAACAAAGTAAAGGAGTGAAGCAGCAAGAATGTGTAAGACATGGGAGTGGCAGGCCTGTGACAGACGCGAGAGAATTAGCCTACGGTCAGGCTCCAGTACTGAACTTTGTTATGAGTTAAAATAAAAAATGCTGTGTATGTGGTTAAACATCAGAGGCCAAGAGCTCGGTAACACAGCTGATTAATATTTTCTACCTGAAGGCTTAACTACAAAGAAGCACCTAGTTAAAAACAAAAAAATTTAATGAGGCAACCTCTGAATGCTTTTCATAATTATTTCACTTTTTAGGGATTTTTTAGGGACCAATCGCTAGTTGAGGAGGAACAACTTTCTGAAATTTGGCAATTATTCACATTTTATTTCTGGGTTTTTTTTAATCTTACCTTAAAATGAAGAGCAATTTTTTTCTTTTTTTTATTTTAAAAGTTCTCTTTCAGGAACTTCTGTTAGCTTCCCAAACATCAATATAAACTTCTACAAAATTGGTCAAATCTAATTATACCACAAAAAATAACCACCATTTGTCTTAAAGAAAGTGACTCCTGGATGAATGGGGATTAACAGCAATATAGATTTGATTCTGTAGACTAAATCATTTAATTAACATTATTATAACTGGGTCAGGCCTGAGACTGGGAAAATGGAAATAGCCTTGTTATAGTGAATCACACATTATAATAGTTCTAATGGCAAGTTTCTCTTATGGAAGAATTACAAATAACTGTGTATTATAAGAACTGACAATCTAAGTTTCAAGTTTATATTTTATGCCAAAGGATTTGCTCATTTGCCTTCATGTAATCCAGAAAAAAGGAATCAGTTGTCCCACATCAGTCATAATAGGAAATTGCACAATCCAAAAATGCAGGGCAAAGATTGTTCCTCTTTGACCTATGAGTAGCAGACCCAACAAAAGATGCATCCCACGAAAAAATAAATGTGCTCTTACACAACATGAAAATCAGATCTGATTTTAGACCACACATTAGGGCTTTTCTCATGATGTGAAACTAATGATGATAGAACAGCATTGTTTTTTTTTTTCTCTCTTTATTCTCAAACCGATTGTTAGAGAATGAGGAAATCAGATGAAGCAGATTAGTGACATAACTCAAATCTTTACTCTTTCCAATTCAAGTACTGGAATTCAACACTTTTCATTATATTCTGACCATCAGGTTCTCATTTCTTTTTTGCCTGGAGTCCTTTCCAAAAGGAAACATACTGCCTGGCATTCTGTATTATTCCTAATTCCCAGGTGGAAAATGAGGCAGATGAAGTGACATCTAAAAACACTGGGGATTATATTTTTAAAAACAAGACAATAATTCAGATCTTCATCCTTTAATTCTTCTCTATATTACCACGGTAAAATATTTATCAAAGTCAAAGAGCTTACTGATACACAGTAATAACCTTACATTAATGGAGTAACTCATTAATGAAGTAATGGAAAAGAGTGCAAATATAAAGGGTGATTCACTATTGTGTTTATACAGTATTGAAACAACCATAACACTTAAATAGCAAGAAAATGCTAACCAATATATAATAATAACTGATAACTCTGAAATACTGCAACATCTTGAATACCTTCTGAATGACCAAAAACAGATGAAATTTTGTTTGGTACAACTCTAAGTTTTTTACACAGAACTATATATTTTTAAAACTTGGTAATCCACATAAGAGATACACAAAACCCTTAATGATGAGACTATTCAATAAATAAAGCTCCACATTGCTTTGTTGTTATGAACTAATGAGCTTGTAATTCAATGAAACCCTTTTAAGAAGTTCTAGTCTATAGAATGACATGTTCAAATTGTTTGGTCCTATTATTAACAAGACACTTTGTTTAATTCCTCTCAACATCATCTTTAAAGGGCCTGATTTGGTTAGTGTCCAAATACAGCACAAGTGAAGTGTAACCCTGTAGTATCTAGTCTATAGGTTCTCCATGAGTTTCAGTTCAGTGTAAGCCAGAGAGTGAGCGAGTAACCTTCCCATGAGTTTTCCATTGGAGATTTTACAGTACCAACTCTGACACTCTCCACAAAGTATCCTGTCCTTCTCTCAGTTTTTAGTGGAATATCAAATTAATAATGGCACGTGGTGTTCCTTAGCATAACTTGCCAAAATGTGATAATTTCCTTGGAAGAAAAGCCATGGGCTGCAATCAGACGTCTGAGCTGACAGACATCCAAATGAATCCTATATATAAAGAAGAGGTTTGTGTCTTCTGGAATATGAATGTCCACTTTTAACAAATTCAAACAGATCCCAACATAAACATCTTCAATCTTGATGGGTTTTACGTGACTCATCATTTCATAGATTTTTGGCACCAAATCTCTGGACATTATATAACCAAACCCACTGCAGTAGGGAGGATACACCTTGAAAGGATACTCCTGGTATGAAATACGGTGTTTTTGGTAAAGTATTCCTCTATAGGAATAATTATCAATTAGAGGATAACCTGTGAAAAACTTCTCTGACTGGTTTAAATTTAAAAGGTACTTTACTAAATTGCCAGTATTGATGAAAACATCAGTGTCTGTCTTCATGATGTACTTGGCATTGGGGCAAAACTCAGTTACCCACCTGAATGCCATAATTGTTTTCAAGGTCAGGTTATTATATGTGTCTAAAAAATCTTGTCGTATTATGTCACCATAAAGAAGGTGTTCATCCTCCAGAGACAATGCCAACACTTTATCTTCCTTTTCAGCCTGTTGGCCTAATAAGAAAAATGTAAGAACCTCATAGCCCCACCAAGACTTTTTTTCACCCCAAGTAACTCTAACTGCCTGCCTCGCTTTCACATCTGAGGGGTGTGAGGTCACCAGGATGACAAGAAATGGGTTTTGATGAGAGCAGTTTGAACGCTCTTGAAGGGTAAAGTGGAAGTTTTGCCTGTAAATTGGCTCATACTCATAGAAGTACATCCAGTTTACACGTTCTATCACATTGTAGTGTGGCAGGCTGAGGTACCACATCACGAGGAAGCTCAGGAGTGACAGCAGAAGGAGGCTCCATTTGAGGGATCTCAGTGACATCCTACTGGGAAGGGTGGTCAAGAGGGCCAGGGCCATCCAGCAGCTCAGAAACACGTGCGTGGCTCAGGTTCTGGAAGATTTATCAAAGGCCTGGTTGGTAAGGCATCCCCAAAACAACGCATTTTCAAATGATACCCCATTATCTACTCAGGTAGAAAGGGTACAAAAGAAGAACAAATCTCTGAGCAAAAGCAAAAATTCTGACCTGAGTCTTATTAACGTCCTGTAACTGTAAACAAATGAATACCAGCAACCAAAAATATATTTGAGATAAAGAAACATCAAGATAAAAGTTAAAAAAAATATGCTTGGTTATTTCAGAAAGTTAATACGTTTTGTTCAACATAAATAACTGTTGCAACATGAATTTTGCCCCAAATGTCCAGAGAGACAGAAAGAAATGAGTAATAGAGGGGGGTTTAAAAAATAAAACTATGAGATATTTTGGAGTGACATCAGAAAAATGGTGACCTGACAGTTCCCTTTGGCCTTTCCCCTTTAAGTTTCAACAATTTGAACAGCTCCAATTCAACAGAGATCGTGTACTGAAACATGTGAAGGTGGGCAAGTGTGAATGAATTGGGGAGGTGAAAAGGGTTGGGATAAGCCACAGATGCAGCCCTGCAGCCCAGAGCTCATGGAGGGGCTCAGCCCAAAGAGGGGAGGAATTAGGCTGTGGCTGGCACTCCCTTCAGCTGAGAGAAGCAAACATGTTTGGTGGGCATTCCTGCAGGAGTCGGCTGTACAAGCTGTGGCTGAGCCCAGGGACCTGGTCAGGGACATAGCACAGAGGTGCGGCCATGGTTGTCTGGTGATCAGCATTCCACGCAGAGAAACAAAGGCATGGAAGCCTGGCCTCCTCTTAACCTCCCAGAGTTCACCTCCCTTTACCCTTGGTGTCAGGTTGCAGAATACATTATCAATAAACCAGAGAACTGGTACTACACAATCACTTTTTCCCTGCAAAGGGTGCACTCTGTGACTCCTGGGATATGTGGGCACAGGGGATACTCCTTGGAGGTTCAATGTCGACATTACCAGGAGGACAAGTCAACTTGGAAGGCAGCCAGGTTACCCCAGCCCACCCTGCCCCCATGCTTTGTGACACACTGATGACAGTGTCTGGCTGTGGTGGATAGCACTGGGATTTCATGGATTTGGAGCCCCACTGCACACCAGATTCCCCACAGGGTTGGTCCCTTGGGACCGAGGTGACTGCATCACAGGGGAAGCACCCACCTTCCCATTTTTTACCACTCTGAGAAGATGTGAAAAACCAGAGAAGTGCAAGGGAGCCAAAAAAAATCTTGTGATTCAGTGTACCTTCTGGAAAATAATAGAAAGCCTTCTTTATAACAATCTATTAGCGAAGTGCCATTCATACATAGATGCCTAGACAGAGAAGGAATCCATTAAGTACCATGAATAACCAAAGTAGTGAGGCAGCTTGGAAAGAAAATGGAAAAAATCTCCAGAAAACAAATTTAAAGACATGGAAATATATGATTTCAATGACAGAGAATTCAAGATTGGAGTTCTGGAAAAACTCAATGCTATGCAAGAAAATATAAATAGGCAGTTTAATGAACTCAGAAACCCAATCAATGAACAAAATAAGTACTTTATCAAAGCGGTTGAAACTTTAAAAAAGATACAAAGAGAAATTCTGGGGATGAAGAACTCAGTAAAAGAGTTCAAGAATGAACTAGTGAGCATAGGAAATAGAGCAGATCAGATGGATGACAGGATTAGTCATATCAAAGACAGAAATCTAGATACGATGCAGAGGGAAGAAGAGAGAGACTTGAGCATAAACAAGAATGAAAGACCTCTCGGAGAACTATCTGACTTCATCAGAAAGAGCACTATAAAAATAATGGGTATACCAGAAAAAAAAAAAAAAAGGAGAGAGGGAGAATGAACAGAGAGTCTATTCAAACAAATGGCTGATGAGAACTTCACAAACCAATGGAAAGAGCTAGGTCCTCAAATCTAAGAAGCAAACAGAACTACTAAATACCTCAATCCAAAAAGGCCTTTTCCAATGCACACTGTGGTAATGACAAAGAAAGAATTCTCAAGGCAGACAGAGAAAAGAAGAAAGCAATCTTTAAAGGGAAGCCCATTAGGTTGTCATTGGACTTCTTGGCAGAAACTCTACATGTTAGAAGAGAGTGGGAATCAATTATTCAAACTACTGAAAGAGAGAAATTACCAGCCAAGAATAATATCACCAGCAAAGTTATAGGAAGAAGAAATAAAGACTTTTCCAGACATATAGAAGCTGAGAGACTTTATCACCAGAAAACCTCCACTGCAGGAAATATTCAACAGGGTTATTCTACCTAAAATGAAGAACAAAAGGTCACAAAACCACAAGTAAGATGACGAACAAACTTATAGTATAAACAGGGGTAATCTGTGACAATCTATTAGCGAAGTGCCTATAGATAAAATATATAAAATAGATAAAAACATAAATAAAATAGATAAAATAGATAAAAATATAAAAGGGGAAGAGGTAGGGTCAGAATTTGCAAAAGATGACGGAGATCAAACAAAGGACTACTTCATATACGAATCTTTTTCATAAACCTAATAGTAACCACAAACCAAAAAACCCAAAACTGAGATAAGTAACTTAGAACGAAGAGATGCACAGAGTCACCAGAAAAGATAAAATGGGCTATAGAAAATCTAGTACATCAATAATTACTCTGAATGTATTGATAAATGGACTAAATTCACAAAAAAGGGCACAAGGTAGCAGATTGGATCAAAAAACAAAATCCAGCCATATGCTGACTTCAAGAGACACATCTAAACTGCAAAGACAAAGAGAGACTCAAAGTGAAAGGGTGGAAAATGATTATCCAAACACATATCATCCAAAGAAAAGTAGGTGTAACCATACTTATATCCAGTGAAATAGATTTCAAGATAACAAAAGTACCAAGAAACAAAGATGGACATTTCATACTGGCAAAGGGGACACTATATAAGAAGACATAGCACTTCTTAATATATATGCACCCAATCAGGGAACACCAAAATATATAAAGCAGCCACTAACAGAATTAATGGGAGAAACTGACAAAAACATAATCATAGTTGGGGATCTAAATACTCCATTGACAGCTCATTCAAACAGAAAATCAATACAGAAATAAAGGCTTTAAATGACACATTAGACCAAATGGGCATAACTGACATTTACAAGAACATCAGATTATACATTCTTCTCCAGTGCGCATGGAACAGTCTCAAGGCTAGAACATATGCTGGGCTGCAAAATTAGCCTCAACAAATTCAAAAAGACTGAAATCATACCAAGCACATTCTCTGACCACAATACTTTAAAATTAGAAATCAACTGCAAAAGAAGGTAAAGAAACCCACAAATATGTGGGTCAAAGAAATAAAAGGTGAGATCAAAAGATATATAGAGACAAATGAGAATGATAATACAACATAGCAAAACTTCTGGGATGCAATGAGAGCAGTAATAAGAAGGAAATTTATATCATTACAGTCCTATCTCAAGAAATAAGAGAAATCACAAGTAAACAACCTAATATTACATCTTAAAGAACTAGAAAAAGAAGAAAACAACCCAAAGTCAGCAGAAGGAAGGAAATAATAAAAATTAGAGCAGAACTGAATGAAACAGAGAACAAAAAGGCTATACAAAAATTAATACAACCAAGAGCTAGTTCTTTGAAAAGAGTTATATCTTTCACAGGTATACTATAAAAGATTGTATACCACCAAATTCAGTAACCTAGAAAAAATGGATAAGTTCCTAGAAATATACAGCCTTCCTAGACTAAATCATAAAGAACTGAAAATCTAAACAGACCTAATCAAAAGTGAGGAAACTGAAACAACCATCAAAACTTCTAGGCCCAGATGGCTGATGGCTTCAGCAGTAAATTCTACCAAACATTCAAAGATGATTTGATACCTATCCTTGTCAAAATCTTCCAAAAATATTGAAGAAGAGGAACACTTCCTAATACATTTTATGAAGCCAAAATAACCCCAAATTTAGCAAAGATAAGACACAATAAGGAAGCTACATGCCAATATCTCTGGTTAATACAGATGCAAAAATCCTAAACAAAATCTAATACAATAATACATTATAAAAATAATACAACATGATCAAGTAGAGTTCATTCCAGGGGCACAAGGATGGTTCAACATATGCAAATCGATCAATGTAATACACCACATTAACAAAATACAGGATAAAAATCATATGATCTTATCAATAGATGCAGAATAAGCATTTGGTAAGATACAACATCCATTTATGATTAAAACATTCAATAAAATGGGTATAGAAGGAAAGTACTTCAACATAATAAAGGCCATGTATGACAAACCCTCAGCCAATATCATACTCAGTGGTGAAAAACTGAAAGCTTAAAATTAAGAATAAGGCAAGGGATGCCCACTCTCATCATTCTTAGTCAACATAGTTCTGGAAGTTCTAGCCCAAGCAATCAGGCAAGAAAAATAAATAAAAGGCATCCACATTGAAAATGAAAAAATAAAACTGTCACTTTTGCAGACAATGTTATTCTGTGTATAGAAAACCCTAAAGACTCTGCCAAAGAACTATTAGAAACAATAAACAAATACGGTAAAGCTGCAGGTTACAAAATCAATGTGCAAAAATCCACCACTTTCCTGTATACTAATAATAAAATTTCAAAACAAGAAAAATAAACAGGAATAAACTTAACAAAGGGTGTGAAGGACCTATATACTGAAGCCTACAAAGCATTATTAAAAGAGATTGTAAAAAACACAATGAAATGTTCCATTTTCATGGGTTGGAAGAATTAACATAGTTCAAATGGCTGTCATTACCAGCTGTATTCTAACCTTAGCATCTTTCCTATCCTATTTGTGCCTCTAAACTGATTTTTATTGTCAAAAGGGATTATTATAACGAAATAATCTTGATGAATTCTTACTACTTGAAGAGAAGTAGGTTTCAAAGCTATAAATAAATGTCTATTTCTTACCTTCTTCTTGATTTATTTTTTTTCTGAGTGAAAGACCTTCAATTTCGTCAACTGAACATTCAGTAGTAAGTAGTAGTCAAAAATAATGCTTGAAATTTCTGAAAGATATAAGAAACGTAACAGCATTTATACCTGGGTCAAGGGACTGGAGAGGTCATAGAGGGAAAAGGAACCTTAGAAGTTGAAATTAAAAGTAAAAAAAAATACCACTAGTCTAAAGAATTCAGAGAGTTTCTGGCTTCATCATGGAGGAAGGGTGGTTGATGTTCAAAACTTAAAACCTGTATCTAGGTTCTCCCATCAGCAGATGTCTATGTCACCCTATGATAGGCCTACTTCCTTTGATAAACAACTCAGAGGTCACAAAAAGAAGTGAAACAGCTCTCCTAAGTGATACTCCATTGATATCCTCTCTTTAATGCCTTGTTCCAGTAACTATTTCTTAAAGGGACTGCAGGAATACCTTCCACACTCAGGAGTGTGTGTGTCGGTGTGGAAGAATGAAGGGGGCGTGTGGTTAAAAGGGGAAAATATAGACTAGCCACAAATACTATAAAATAGTTGTTAATTCAGAGTGATGGAAATATAGACATTCTTGTATGCTTACAGTTTTCTTTGCATTTTAAATATATCCAAAAAATGAGGAAAAGCATAATGAAAATACTTGGATATCAGAGTTAGATGGTCCACCCTAAATGTTGGCTGCAACATTAAACGGTTGTATGACCCTGCAGAAGTTATTTAACTTCATAAAAGTTTTTTTTTCCATCTCTAAATCAAGCCTTACAATATTAATTCAGTTACTTAGAAGTTTGTAGGGGAGAAAATGGAGCAACCAATCGACTCAGGGGCCCTCAGTAATTTCTAAAGTGAAATGACACACAGGCAGGTGGACGGATGCGCACACTATGAATTCATAGGAATCTAACTGACCTGGCCTCCTCCCTGGGGTGGGCTCAAGCCCTGACAGTAGGAGCACCGGGCAGCTGGCCTCCCAGCACGGGCCGACCTGGGAGAGCTGAGCAGCGGGCCCTGTGAACCCTGACACTGTTCTAAATCCCATAACCCGGGGGAGGGACAGAGAGAGGACCCTAAAACACTGATGAATTGAAAAATATAAAAAGGTCAAGCGGGGAAGTAGACCCTTATTTCATCACTGACTTCTTAAATAACAATGTCATACATCACGATCAAAACATAAATTATATGTAAGTTATAATTTAAAAATAATTTCCATTTTATAAAAGATAAACTTATGATTATATAACTACACATGCATTCACCAACTGGACTCCATATAATCTACATTAAGCAAACAACCTTCTCTTATGCCACAAGCCCAGTGCAATGCATGGTGCAAAGCAGGCCACCAGTGAGGACTTGTTAATTTGGTAGTTGATCCTTAACAGCTGAAAAAACATCTCAACTAACAGAAAAGCCCAGAAAAGCCCCAGAGACAGAACACGTTGTCTGCATCCAGGATATGAAGTATACCCAGGCTTTCACCATCAAGTGAAATCACCATCCTCAGATGAGTAACTGCACCTCAGTTACCAGGCACCACAACTTTATAGCTGCTCACTGCCTGGACCAATCACAGGCTGTGTCTCCTGGGGTTTTAGCATCAGAAGGGCTCTGTGGACCAAAAAAGGGGAAACCATTCAAACAAACTTACACTATTACTTTACATGGAGGAAAGGTTTCTCAGAGTTTTTAATGCTGATGTGCATTCTCTCAGAAGGGACTATATTATGCAAAGTTTCTCACATTTGTCTGAACAAAAGAAAACCTATTCTAATTTTCAGAGCCTCTAGCAGGACTAGAAAGCCACTCTTTGGGAAATCCTGTCCTAGAACACCTTTGCATTCACTGAATTGGGAAACTAGTTTCTGTGAATAATAAATAAAATTTTAAGAGTAGTTTGGAGTAAAAAATAAATTTTTTTGAACAAATTTACACAAAAAACTTTTCAGGGTTATGCACTAAGGCTGAACATATATGTGCCCTAAGCTATAGCAAGAGCACTCCTAGGTACAACACTCAACAATGTGTGTGTATAGGAGGACACTAAAACATGTCCAAGAAAGTCTGTAATAGCACAACCTGAAATCAACCGACAGTAGAAGAGAGAAATAAATTTATATAACAGCAAGTGATACAAAATGAAAAAGAACAAACTACAGCCTCATGTGACATCATGGAGAATCCCTTAACATAATGTTGAACTAAAGAAACCAGGCACATATTCCATTAACACAAAGTTGAAAAGCAGGCAAAAGTAACTCTTGGTGTCAGAACTGAAGACTCTAGGGAGAGCGAGGAAACACTAGTTGGGAGAGGCCGAAGGGGACTTTTTGGGGTGCTGGCCATATTCTGTTTCTTGACCTACATTGCAGCTATAGGTGTATTTACTTGAATAATCATCTTCTAACTTGTGCACTTTTCTTTTTGTTTGTTACACTTCAATAGAAACATTTAAAGAGTTTGGCAATCGCGTCAGTCACTGTGCACATCCGGTTACTGTGTGCGATCAGCGCTGGCAGGCGTCTACATGACATGCCAGCCCAGGTGCCCCAGTGTGGTCAGAGTGCGAACAGGTGGCGCCAGGCACTAACTCATATAATCTTCAAGAGAGCCCAGGAGTTAAGGCCCTTTTAAAACCTTTACTGTTTGCATTTAATAGGTAAGAAAACTATGGCTTGAAGAGTCGATAACTAGCCCAAAACTGTACAGACTTGTCAGTGGTGGAGACAAAATCACACAGGACGCCAAATCTCAGGTTCTTGGCCACTACCTTCCTATCTCTCCTGGGAGGTCTGCTGCATGCCCTAGACCAGAGCTAGTCTGAGAGGGTTTTAATTTCCTGCAACCATTGAATCTTGATGGAAATGGTAAAGCAACAACACAGCCTTACTGTCTTTAAGCAAAATGACTCAAGATTCCCAATCTCAAAACCTGAAATATGCCCTGGCTGGTGTGGCTCAGTGGATTGAATGTCAGCCTGTGACCGGCAGGGCTGTGGGCCTGATTCCGGGTCAGAACACAGGCCTAGGTTGAGGGCCTGGCCCTGGTGCCCAGTTGGGGGTGTGTGAGAGGCAACTGATCAGTTTCTCTCCCTCTCTTTCTCCCTCCTTTCTCCTTTCTCTAAGAAATAAATAAATAAAATATTTTTTAAAAAACCCTGAAACATGAAGTATTAACAACAGTAATAATTAATAACTAATCATTCATGCAAACACAGACTTTTTACTTTGCAACAAAAACATGCACACACAAAAAAAAAAGAAACAAAAACACTAGGAAATAAATTGGGGATGGGGTGACACAGAGAAATAAGTTCAAACGCGAATAAATACTCCAGTGAAACAGAACAAAGAGTTGCTGCAATGGTACAATTATTTAAATCAAAATAACCTGGAATTCTTTCCTGGGATGCAAAAATGTTGGTTATTTTTCTACAAAAGGAAAACAAATTTAATTATTTTCAAAACTATGCAAAAACTTTTCTAATTCCAAATGTAACATATGTTCATTAGAGAAAATTTTGTGACTATAAAAAGGCCCAAAGATAATAAAAGCTTAAAGGTAACAATGTTACTATTTTTAGTGAAGATTTATCAAGCCTGTCTCTCCATCCCATCTGCCGCCACCGCCTCGCCCGTCCCTGCTGCAGCCACAGTGGCTTCCCGTCTGACCCTGAATGTGTCCAGCTCTTTCCCACCCTTGCAGAATCTGCACTTGCTCTCCCCCTAACTCAAAAGCTGGTTTAGAGTGGAGGGGTATGAGGGAACTAAATGGTCATGGGAAAAAATTACAAAAAAATAAAAGCTGGTTCTGGAAAAGGCTGGTTCTTTCTCATGCCGCAGGTCTCAGCAAATGTCATTTGAGAGTGCCTTTCCTGGGCCTCTTATTCCAAGCAGTCCCACCACGCCCTTATTTTCCGTCACATCCCCCAGTATCCTTTCCTTAGCATGTGAACCTCACCTGAAATTTTTCCTGTCAGTTCCCTTCACAAGAATGTGAGTGAGATTCGTGAGGGAGCAGATCTGCCCACCTTGTCCACTGCCAAATCCCCTTTGTGTAGCACATAGTATGTGCTTGCTGGATATCGGAATACTGTGCGAGGGGCCTGGTAACGTGCTTTTTTATCCACTTAATACATTGAGAAAATATTCCCAAGAATAAATTGAATCCAAAAGTAAACTCTGAGTTTCTGTTAGATGATCCTTACTTTTCTTCAGCTATTTCCTAATATAAAACCTTATTCTTATATGCTACACTAATTCTGACCGTGTGCAGCTTAAAAGGTCCAGACAGGGAAAAAAAAAATTCAATGAAAATCAAGCATGCTATATTCAGGATCACTCAAGGAGAAAGCACGTGCTAACTATTAAAGATAATTACTAAACTACTGCTAATCGTGCACATTCTGACTTTTCTTCTACATAAAAACAGTATGGCAAAGGGGGTGGAAATCTAAATGCCCAGAAAAGGTCCTGTGTGTATTGAGTTTAATACAAATCATAAGTACACACATCAGTCATGTCCTATTTCTTTGAAAGTGGGGGGACCACCAATCAATATGCACCCACGAGGAAAACTCCTCAAACTGAACATACTAATTCATAAACAAAGCAATATAAAGTTCTACCATTCTGACCTTGGATCATGTTAGAAACAAACACAACCAGTGATATTTCACCACAACTCTTTCCCCTCTTTTTTTCTTTGATCCAGTTCTTCTCAAGCTTTGCTGCATTATCATCATCTCCTGGAGAACTTGATAAAGTCTGGACTCCAGGGTGCACCCAGGACCAACTAACTCAGTTTCACAGGGTGGTGAGGGTCAGGAAGTAGGATCTGTAAAGCTTCCCAGGGGAGTCCAAAGTGGAGCTTGTTAGCAATGCAGAACCTCAGGCCCCACCTTGGACCTCCTGAATCAGAAGCTAGTTTATGAAACAACACACATTAAACATTTAGGATGGGGCTGGCACACAGTAACAGCTAAGTAGATGGTACTGCCATTGTTACTGAAGTCTACACTACATGCTCCATCCAAGTTACTGTTATTTGCTCATACTGTATTTACAAACCCTTAGGCTAGCTCCACCATCTCTTGTAAGATAGCGTATGCTCTATAACACATTTAAACAGGCAAATAAATCCTAGTCGATTCACCTTCTTTCTCCAAATCAGGCCTTTTTTAATGTTTCCTCCAGAGTCTCGAAACTCCCAATGTTCTGCTACCCTAAACGTACAGGCCACAGGGCCCACTAGGAGCGGTGCACGATGCCAAACGAGGGCCTTCCGGATCCTCCTCCGCACACAGGCTCCCCTCTCCCACGACCCTTCCTCCTGCCCCACGGCCTTTCCGCAGCTGCCTGACATTGTTTTTCGAAGCATGATTTGCCCTGTCAAAAGTCCTACTTCTAGGTACTTCTAGCCACTGGAGGGGAACGACAAAACATATTAACCTTTTTAAACTGAGGTGTGAGATAATCAAGCGGTATCAAGCTACTTTAAGGATTGTGCATACTCAATAGGCTTCCACTTTTATTTTTTACTTTGAAGCACACAGCTGGACATAGAATAAAGAATCAAATTTTCTTTGTTGAATGAATGAACTGTGACTGCTCTATCTGCCTAATTTCATAATGCCTAAAAATAAAATTTGCCTTCCTCTGTCAAAGATTTGCATTGAAAAGACCTTGCTTTCTACTTTGTCCATTTCTTCACACTCCCCTCCCTCTGTATTTTAGCAAAAGCCCCTGGGTGGTCCTGGTACTGCAGCAAGCGCTTTTCACACCCCCCGTGTGTTTGATGATTAAAACCACTTTATAAGGTAGCCCCATTATTATAACATTGACCTACCAGCTAAGGACACAGATTTGGAGACCGGCTCCTTAGCAGGGTCCCAGCCAGCAGAGCAGCGCTGACAATCCAGGTGTCCTCACCCTCTTGGCGGGTCTGTAACTACTGCACGACGACACACCCCTCGTCACTTGTTATTATCCCGCCTGCCTGGCATTTGCGTACTTCCCATCACGTCGTACAGCGCCTCTGCTCTTCCTCAGGGGTGAAGAGTTGTCAAAGCCAAATCCAGGATCTTTAAAAAAGGGGAAATCCTAAATGCAAACATCGTTCAATCTCCAAGCAAATCATGCTCGGCTCCCTGAGAATCCGTCTCAAGTACACTTCCAGAAAGCGTACCTTGCAAGCACACTGTTCAGAAATGAAAGATGTGCTGAGGAGAAAGCACATTAATGAATGCACATTCCAAATAACCCTGAATATGTGTCTGAGCTTCTGCAAACATCAGTGGACACTTAGACACAAACGCAATGATGGTCGGGAGCCAGCAGCAATTCAGCAAGATCATTTCATCTGACAAACTTCATCCCCATTTTCAATGGGTTCCTTGAGCAGAAGAGCAACGGAGGTCTTAGATAACACACAAGAATTCAACTTCGCTGAAGAGGACAGGGCACTGCAAGGTCCTCCTGAGCAAAACGGAAAGAGGTGAGGCCGATGGCAGGGCCTACATGGTTTGAAAATGTGCTGACCCATCGCAACCGATGTATTGTTCATGCAGTCATGTGTTCAACACGGATTCCTTGGGCTCTGGTTGGACTGTGCAAATATTGTGTTGACCAGCTCAGCCACAGACCTGCCCTCCCTCTTAGGTTCCAAGGTTGCTGGAGCATTTCTGTCAACCTGAGAGAAAATCTCTAGGGTTTAATTGCAGTTCTATCTTCCTGTTTAACATTTCGTATGAAAAACGAATGCAGGCTTATTCAATTCAGTAGGCAAGGAAAATCACGGAAAAATAGTGAATTCTATAGAAGATGTAATTACAATCTAAAAAGCTTTCAACAGGTTGGAACAGGGCTAAAGTGAGATAAAATCTGATGAGAATATATTTACTGCCCTATATCAAAGTTAAAAAAACCAACTGCCCAAGAGCAGGATGGGGGGGTCATTTTTACAAGGTTTTTTTTTTTTTTTAAGATTTATTTTATTTTTTAGAGAGAGGGGAAGGGAGGGAGAAAGAGAGGAAGAGAAACAGCAATGTGTGCTTGCCTCTCATGTGCCCCCTACTGAGGACCTGGCCTGAACTCAGGCATGCGCACTAATTGGGAATCAAACTGGCAACCCTTTGGTTCACAGGCTGGCATTCAATCCACTGAGCCACACCAGCCAGGGTGGGATGGGGGATCATTTTAACAGCAGCCTAAGTTAAAAAGACTTTAAGGTTCTAGTTGAATGTGAGTTCAATAAGAACAAAGATGGTGATGTAAAGGAGTAACAGGAAAATCAGGAGACCAGGATTTCAGTTTCAACAGCTGGGGTGAAGGGGTGTCAAGCCATTGTATTTGGAGAGTTGCTTTTCTCATCAGAACATGAGGGGGTTGGGCCAGGACACCTCTCAGGCCCCATCTGGCTCCACCAGTGCAGATGATTTCATTTCTGCACACCGCTGCGTCCCCAGCATCGGGCACCGTGTCTGGCACATAGACAGCATTCCCCAAGTGCTTGTGAGGGAGGGAGAGTGCTGAGTTTTTGCAGGTTAATACTATTGTGTATCCTCCTCCCTCAACACATGCACGTACACCAACTGAAAGCCCCAATACACTCCTGGATTCAAAAAACAGAAAAATAAATGTCTGAGCAAAACGGGTCATGATCCCATAGCCATACACGTTCCATTTTAAAAGGGCCATTGGTAAGTTAGATATAATACAGAGGAAGGTAACCCAACTGGTTATGGATTTGGTCTCTCATTTCTCATGAGGACTAGATGAGGTAGTGGCTGAAGGAACTGGGGGATGTTCTGCTCTGGGGAAAACAAAAGCTTTGAAGAGCCATGGGAGATGCTTTCAAGTATTTTGAACAACATATCAGCTTTAACTCCAGAAGGCAAATGGAACCCAAAGACAAAAATTAGCAAGAGGGTCCAATATAGATTTCTAGAATGGACTGCTCCCCACCGATGGAAATCTTCAAGTGGCTGGCAGGAATGTTAAGGAAATTAGTTCCTCACTGAGCTTCATTTTAGGTCACTTCTAAGGTCCCTCCCAACTCCAAGATTCCATGACTTTGTATTGATGTTTAAAGTGTAAGTATATGGAAAAGGTTTCCTTTTATGTAATTTTATTTTTTATGTAATTTTGAGAAATCGTTTGATTTTTAATAATGAACCTGAAGTTATTTGTTGAGATGAATAAAAAAACCCTACCATTAAGCCCAACTTTCCACGGTTGTTACACAGTTTTAAGTAGATGATGAGCATATACACCTAATACTACATCACCGCTCCCGGTTCTGCCTTTGGATCCCCTGTGGGTCGCACGAGTACAACCTTCGGGTGTGTTCTGAGATGTACGGGAGAATGTCTTTCATTCAGGTCTTATTAAAATAAAAGGCTCTTGCCTTGGTGGGCTGAAGTACAAGATACCTGGATTTTTAAAAACATATTTTAAAAAGACATATTTTATATATATACTGTTTGCAGACCAAGTCCTTTCTTGTAGGAATAACAACAAGTGGGACTATTTATTGATTTCTGGAGTTGGGCTGTGTAGAGACTGCGGGCTAAGAAAAATGAGGAGCAGCCAACCTCGTCAAAAGTAGCAACAAGACCTGAGAAGGAAAGTTCAACTGCAGTTTTCTTTTTTGCTTTTGCCCTGTCTGTACCTGCCAACAAAAAGGCTCCCTCTTAATAGTGATGACAACGTATGTTAGGATTTAAACAGGGTGGGCTTTTGGCTTAAGTCTGTATCCCTCTAGAGCAATTTACACAGCACACTCACAACACTGTATAGTTTAAGTGTTACCATCCCATTTTTCAGACACCTGCGTAGTCAACATACAGGCAGATCTGGAGCCCAAACTCAGGCCCACCTCTAGATGCTGTGCTCCTCCTCCAGAGCACAGTGCCTGCAGAAGAGCCCAGCCTCACATCTGATCCTACAGCCTCTTGAGATTCCTGGGCAGGGAGCAAAACGCAAAGCACAATGGACTTACCTTTGCACTCAGCGGCGGGCTCTCTGAGAGAATGCCATGACACAGCAGCCTGTGGGACGAGGCAACAGGACAGCTGGATCCGAAGACGCTAGGAAAACTGGGGCAGAGCAAAGATCACACCGATCAGGCCGAACAGCAGAAGGCTGACTTGAAAGCTAGACTTCTGTGTTTGTTTCGTTACAGCCTTATCAACTGGAGGAGATTTCATTCATTCATTCGGTATACTGAACCCGTGTCAGAGGCTGCGGCTACCACGGGGAAGGTGACAGACAAACCCTGCCCTCGAGTTGCTACGCTTCAGGAAGAGCAAAGAGGAAGGTCCACATCGATACCAAGATGCACACCAAATGTAATGAGTAAAGTTCACCGGTAGAAGAGGAAGGGAGACCTTCTCCAAATAAGTGATCAGCCTTCATGGTCAGGAGCTGAGTTTGCACTCTCAGAATATGTGGATGCTCAAAAAAAGGTGCAAATTATAGAACTTGTGTCAGTTTAGAGATAAAACTATTTAATACTAAGAGATAGTGGTCAATGACAATTTTTTATCTTAGAAAGTGGGTAACTCCATCTTTGAAAACAAAGCCTGCTACTAAAGTAGTAGCCAAATACAGTTCCAGATACGAGACATGGACTGAGCCCTCAGTCACGCTGCAGGGAGGTGGCCGCACACTTATTCAGGCACAGCTTAGGAGTTTAGCAAAATTCTATGTTCTAGCCCAGAAGTGGGTGATTTTTTGAAAAAAATAAAATGCCAGATAGCAAATATTTTCTTTGTGGGTCCTATGGTTTCTATCCCAGCTACTCAATTCTGCCTCTGTAGTAAAAACAGAGCCATAGACAATATTAAACATATAGGTATGGCTGTGCTCTATTAAAATTTTCTTTATAAAACAGGATGCTGGTCTGGAAGTGTTTGTTCTAATCACATGAAACAGTGTGCCTTAGGTCATCAACGAAATGTGCTAAGACTGCTCTTCTCTATGTTTCCTCATGTTCCCAAAGGGCCAGGCTTCGGAAAAGGGGGTCTCAGTGCTGATAACGTGTCTCCTACATGAAGCGGTTCCTGGAGGGGAGGCAGGGCTAATACTTAACTAATCTGGGCTGTGGATGCTCTATGGGGCAACATAAGGCCTGGGCTTTCTGGTTAACTACCTGTGTTCAGGGTCAGGCACACACCGAATGCTAAACTTTAATCATCTACTCTAGTCTTCTATTTTTTATTCTGTCATTTTTCAGAGCTTCCAGCGGTGCACGCTCTTGAAGCCAAATCTTCTATCCTGCGGCCTCTCAAGGTCCTACCCCACAGATGTTCTCCCCTCTTTTAGCTGCGGTCCCTGAAAATCTCCATGCTTCCAGCCCATGCCCTCATCTTACCCTCTCCTCTAATTCACAATGTGCCAAAAGCTCTGGTGCCAAACACAAATCATTATTTGTAATATGCAGCTTTTCATTAAAACCATTGTGCATAGTCCCAAAAGAGGTATTTGTCAAAGAGCCTACTGCTAAGTGAACTGCAACTTTTGAGTGCAACAAGGTCATTTAAGAGCACCCTGTTTGACCCCACACATTTGACCTTACTCATGAAGCTGTAACATATGGTTATCTAACAATACTGTGAACAAGAAAGAACAATGATAGCTTATAGAGCTGCAACAGAAAAGCTTCTTTGGCCTGGACATTATATAGTGGGGAAAGGGATAAAGGTATTTCTTCAAGTGGGATTCTACCCCTGTCATCCAATGGTGGACAGAACAGAGCCTGAATCTGGGCCCAGAGAGAAGGCGAGTCATTTGAAGAGGAAAGCAAAAAGAAAAAGTATCTACTGGAGTATATTTTCTTAGGGATAAAGAGAATTGAGTCTGAACCCGAAGTTGACTATAACCACCAAATTACACTTATATAGTTAAATTTTCCTTAGGGACCATGGTATTTTAATAATTCAATTTTTGAAATATATATATTTTACAAAATGTTTTAGTAGACCTTAATTAACTCCTGTGCCTTCACAAATCCTTTGGGGGAAATAAATATAACAAAATTTGTAGGTGTGTATATGATCCTTAAAATTTTGTAAACGGGCCTTGGCCAGGTAGCTCAGTTGGTTAGAGCGTCATCCAGATATGCTAAGGTTGCAGGTTCAATCCTTGGTCAAGACACATAAAAGAATTAACCAATGAATGCATGAATGGGAAAAACAAATTAACGTTTCTCTCTCTCTTTCCTCCTTCTTCTCTCTCTCTAAAGTAAAAATGTGAAAGAGGTTTTTTTTTTTTAAATTTTGTAAAGGAGACTATTATTATAGTCAATTTTAACCACGTAGGATAATTTCTAAATTAAAATAAGATGAGCTTACCTGTAACATTTCAGATGAGACCAAAGCACTAGCTGAAGTTCTTTGTTCTTTTCTGTATCCCATGCTTTAATTAAAAAAGATTTGCTGAGGACTATGGAACAGAAGAACAGAAAAAATATATTTGAGTCATACAACACTGGGCACTTTGACATCTAAAATCAAGGTTTTATACCTAGCGAGCTGCCAATAGTTACATATCAACACTTCATTTTTTGGAAAAAAGATCCTCTCGTCTTCCTTTTTGTTCTCAAATAAACTAATGCATCTAATCTGGAATTATATTTAGCCACTGTTTTAGTAACAGGCTTTATTTTCCGGGCTGAAATTACCCAATGACCATTCATTTGAACGACCCTTCCAGTCTAGGAGAAAAATGCCATAGACTCTTATCTCTTAATTTTAAACTGTTCCCCTCTCAAGAATGATGCAGATTCAATTTGCGCTTTTATCAGCCATCAACACAAAATCAGATTCTCAAAGCACAAAATCAGCGCCCTACCTCTGCCTAAGCCGCCTGGGGAAGGCTATATAGCACAAAGTCGTTTCTGGCTGAGAACTGCACACTCAAATCTTGTACTTCTGAAAACAGAAGAAAAGGGAACATGGTTTGGTAATTTGTTCCTTGGCAGTAGCTCTTCCTGTCAAAGCAGCCACCTCCTAAAAGCAGGCACGATGTGCAAAACACAGAGAAGAGAAAGCCATGTCCGCCCGGCAGATCGCCCGTCTGCTCCAGTAGCGCGGGGTGAAGACAAGGAACGCAACCGTGCTTGCTGCTGGCATCATTCCCATTGCTTAGGAAAATGAGACTCCATTGCACCTTGGAGATTTCTTTTAAAACGCCGTGTATACTCACTAAGACCGCCTTTTACAAATCTTGTAACGACTAGGGGTTTCCTCTACTTGCCGCCCAATTCGCCTATTCTCCTCCTTAGGTCCACCTTCTTCCCAATCCCTCCCTATGAAGAACCCTCCCACAATTCGGCTCCCGGGCCCTTACCCAGGGCCTTGGCAGTGCGTTGGCCTTGGGAATGCGTTCGCCTCGGGCCTGTCGGGCACCCACGAAACCAAAATACCGTCTCCTTCCCCTGCCCCGCCGCCGCCGCCGCCGCCCTCCCAACCCCCGCAGTTCCCGGAATTCCCGTCCCGAGCTGCCGGGGTTACAGAAAGGAGGGGGCTGCGCCCTAGAGCAGGGCAAGGCCCAGGGTGTTCCTTGCAGCCGCGGCCTTAGTCTGCCACGCACCCCGATTCCGGCACGCACCCCGGCGCTCCTCCCGGCCTTCTCCCGCGCTCACCACGGTTGAGCATCCATTCGTCGCGGAGGCCCCAGCCCAGCGGCTCGGCCACTTGCCGCGCTACGCCGGTCGCGCTCCGGGAGAGGGCCGACGAATGGGCGGCGCTGCCGAGCCCTCCTTCCCAGTCTATCAGTTCTGATCCCGGCGTCCCCGAGGAGGGCGCGTCCCCGGAGCAGCGGGTCCCAGGGCGGCGCTCTCCACAACCTCGGGGCTGCCCCCAGACCCCTCCTCACACTTACCTTAGGCAAGGTGCGCGCACCCAATTCAATCGCGGGCGGTGGCCGACTCTCCCGCTCCGCGCGCACACACGCTCCTGACCGCCGGGCGCGCTCAGACCGCGCGCCGGGACCGGGAGTCCCTCGCTCTCCTGCACGCGCGCGCGGCCCCACGCGACCGGTGGTCCGCAGCCCTACGCACTCGCCTGGGCGTGCTGCTGCGATTCTCGCCATCCGCAAGTTCCATCAAGTAGTATTAGGTACGCATTTTACATTTGAGGCTGGCAGCAGTTAGGCGATTTAGTGGCAGACCTCCCGAAAAGATTTCTGCTTGACTCTCGTCTTAGAGCCAGCCTGCTTGCCATGTTTCCAGGCTGCGTAAAGGCCCGCGCTGGAGGCAGTCAAGGAGGGGTTTACTTACTGAAAACCCTCCTGGAGCTACTCAGGAAAGAAGAAAACTTAGGGAGTGCTTTGCTCTTCTAGAATAAATGCGCGTTCGCTTTCTAGAATCCAGGGAGAACGAAGGGTGGGAATGCGTCGGGTTTACAGAGATCTCGGGTACGAACAGGAATCCCAGGCGTGCTCTCGGGAAACGCCTCTCTGGAAACCTTCCTTTGATCTGGAGAATTCAAAGAAAGTCAGTCCCAGCTGGAGTCTTCACCATTTACGTAGTGCTTCCTGGGAGGTAGTGCAGAGGCTGTCAGGCGTAGGAGCTGGGTGTTCACTTAGCTGTGGTCATACCGGTCTTTGGGTGGAAGTGATTTTATTAATTAAGAAATAATATTTATTTTCCTTTCATGGCATCCCCGGGAGAGTGCCTTCTGCAGACAGGTTCCCATTCTGGCCACTTGGCTGTGGGACTGCGGACAGCTTGGCTCCAGCATTACTGTGTAAAAAGTAGAAAAAAAGAATTGTTAAGTGGACACCCGTATATCGTTCTCCGAGATTGCATAGCAACATTTCTCGTAACTTCTTCTATGCCTCTTTCCTAAATACATCAGCCTGCATTTCCTAAGAATAAAGACAAAAATATTCTTCTCTGCAACCACATGAGAACCTTAATCACATATAAGAAGTCTAATAATTTGATATCACCTAATATCTAGGCCTTAGACAAATTTCTCCAGTTGTCTAAAAAGTCACATGTAAAAAGATAGTACAATGAAGATTTATGTATTGCAGTTCTTATGTTTGCTGTTTTTAATGCATAACAATCCTCCACCTTTTTTGTTTCATGACATTAACTTTGTGAAGAGTTTAGGCCAGTTATCTCAGGGTTTTACTTCCTCAGTTTGTCCTACTTTTTTTCCCCTTTGAACGTCATTTAACTTTTTCTCTAGTGGTCTCATTTCCTTTAAGCTAGGTGGCAAGAATCCTTCATACTTTATGAGATACTCTTCATCTTGTTTCCCATCAGGAAGAACATAATATTAAATATTGAATACATCATTTTAATTCTTAAATGAGTAATATTAGGTTGTCCCAGTATCAGTGATCACTGAAATCTCAAGTGTCCTCCAATCTCAAGTGTCCCCGAGACTTCTTTGTTATATAGTCCATCCCCCCCCCTTTTTCTAAAAATCCTCCTCACTTGATGATACTGTTTATTGATTTGAAGGGGAGAGAGAGAGAGAAGGAGAGAGAAACATCAACGTGAGAGAAAAACACTGATTGATTGCCTCCTGTAAGCACACCAGCCCGGATCATACCCACAACCAAAGCATGTGCCCTGATGGGGAATCAAACCTGCAACCTTTTGGTGTACAAAACGATGCTCCAACCAATGCAATGCAGCCAGGGCCCAGTTTCCTCTCTGAGGTTAGTAAATCCGTTCACCTAGCTGGGCAGAGTAATCATCTGGATCATTCTGGTATCTACCATTTCAGATGCTTCAGTGAATTAAATACTAACTTTATTCAAAGAACAGTAAACATCTGGTCTCTGTGGAGTTTGGGCCATTTTAGAGTTCCTGTGGGTAATTCTGGTAAAACAAGATCTTGTGAGGTATGTTTCAAGAAGATTTGATAAAATCCAGGAGGAGTTTCCTATATTTAGCTGGGTATACCTGATCTAAACTCCCTGCTCCATTCTAATAACAAAAACAAATCAATAATATATAATACTGTATGTGACCTCTACCTGTGGTCATCTTGTCTCTGTAACATAGTTTAGATATCTATGTATGTGAGCTCATCCATTTAAGCTCATAAACTCTGCTGGGCAAAAGCTATGTCAAGTGTACTCTATATAACAATGACCACCTCAATTTCCACAAAAGAACTTTCAAAGAGCAGCATCTATTCCACAGACAAATATAGTATTCTAAACAGACAGCCTGTACCCCACTTCTCAAAAAAAAGGACAATTTTTAGTAAGGCAGTCTACATCAGGGGGGGGGGGGTATCAGTGGTTTTAGCTGGCATCAGCAAATAAGTGTTTGCATCAGCAAATTAGTGTCTGCTCTTGGCCCTGTCAGTTGATGTGAACGTCATCAGTGTCAACTTCTAACAGTCCAAAACAGAAGCTGCAAGGCAGAAGCTATTCTCAATGCTAGTTTTAGAAGCAACTAGTCTAGAAGCTAGTTTTGTAGCATCATTTTGCCACATTCTATTGGTCAAAGAGCAAGCCTATGATCATTCATGATTCAAGGAAAAGGGACCAGGCAAGGACATGATCACCAGGAGATGAAGCTTCCGGGTGGGGCATGGGGACATATTTTGAAGGGAACTACCAGGCCAAATGCAAACACAGATGTATAGTATTGATTGTCCTGGCCCTTTCTTCAAAATCCTGTGAGTCTGGGTCATCTGTTTAACATCAAGCCTAGCCATAATCACCCATCGCCAGTTGTGACCCATACATTTGCATTGGCTGTTAGTATGACCCACCATTTCTTTTTGTTGACAGATTCCTTGGCTCAACAGCTTCTTGCTTATCAGAGCCTTTTGTTTCCCCCTAGAAAAGAAAAGAATAGGGAGTGAAATGTGCATTTAAAAATAATTTATGGTAGTTTGAAAGTTCTCTGAAAATAATAGAGGTGGATATAGTAGTTAAAATGGGTGTACAACAGGACTGTGGTTAGAGAGTAACAGTATAAGTCCAGGATCTGGACTTAATTGGCACTGTATAAACATTTAAATCTAAATCATCATCCTGATTCTTTTCCTGGTTCCAGCCCTGGCAGGTAGCTGTGCCCTTTGCAAAGTGTAAAGTGATAGCTGCCTGCTGGTGCCTTTACCACAGCCATTCTGCACCACACCTTGGCTGAAAGTTCACCTCACTAAGTAAAGAAAACCCACTGATAACACAATGTGAGAGGCTCCACTGCAGTCAGATTACTATATAGAAAAACAGGCCTCTGTGTTCGGAAGGATGTTGTGGGACATAGATATTATTTCTTACAAATTCTCCATTTTTATTTTAGAAAGATTATTCCAATACCTGTTTTTAAAATGTTTTGAATGTCCCTTGAATAGCTAGCGGGTATATGTACTTATACCTTCCAAAACCTCCCTGGAATACAGAACAGTCACAGACAGCAGTTTGGGGGTAAGAAATCCTCCCCAAAAATATGAGTGAGAAGAAAAAAGGTCAAAACCTTTAAGGGAATGTTTCCTTCAAGGCAGCTTTCTTGTTCTTTGTGTAGTATTTATTAGCTTATGAGTCAGTTATCTATTGCTGTAGAGCTAACCATCCCATTTATTAAAAATAGCACTTTAATATATTTCTCACAGTTCTAAGCCTGGTTGTGTGGTTCCCCTATGGGTGTGTCTGAGCTACTCACACAGTTATATTTAGCTGTAGCAGCGATTGGTAAAATTATCTTTTTTTTTTTTTACCAATAACAAAGGGCCAGATAATGCATATTTTAGGCTTTGTGTCTGTTTCATATTCTTCTTCATCTATTTATTTTATACAAAACTTTAAAAAGCAAATGCTGTTCTTAGCTCAAGCGCTCTATAACCAAGCAGGTTGAGAGTCAGATTTGACCCACAGGCTATAGTTTGCCAACCCCTAAACTGGAGAGTCAGCTGAGCTGAAGGTCCAAGGTGGCCTCACTCACCCGTCTAGCAGCCGTTGATGCTGTCCGCGGAAGGCCAGGGTCCTCTGCCTCGGGGATTCTCCTTTCTCTCACAGACAGGAGAATGTGGCTTCTTACCCTCCTTCGGCTACACTGTCAGTCTGCGGGCAGCATCCAGGACATAAGCCTGGGGAGTCAAACAAAGTCACTGTGCCACACTCTGTGATCAGGGGTCACCATGAGGCAAATCCGGGTTCAAGGGCAAATAGACTCCTTCTCAATGGGAGGAGCTGCAGATGTTTTGGCTGCAGATAGCAGATCTAGGTGGCAGATTCCTACTGTGTGCACCAACAACAGAGATCACGGGCTGATGCTAACCTGGGCATTAGATTGGCTCTGAAAGCCTTATTAAGGTAACTTGAAATTGAGCCATATCATGGAATTTGTAAGATCTTTAAAAGTTGGAGAAAAGCCTGCAGAGTAAAGACATGAAGATTTGAGGACTTGAACTATGTTATAAATATTTTTTTATATTTATTGAAGCCTAACATACTACCCCTCAATAATTATTAAAAGTAAGATGTGTATAGAATTAAACTGACTAGCCTCGCTGAGGTTTTACGTCAGGTTATTTATTTACTTCACAAAAATAAAACTAGTTTAAAACTCCAGCTTTACCTACAAATTCCAGAACCGTATGTATCAAAGAGTTACATTTCACTTTCAAATACTGTCTAATCAATCAGATGTTACCCTTCTTGGCAGTTTTCCAAACATATTAACAAGAACTGGGAAGCAATATGCTTAATGATAAATTTGAAATGATAAAGGTGAACTTAAAGTCACCTTTAAGGATATGTTAGATTTTAACTTTAGATTTGCCTGCAAATGAAAATTGAAATGTAACAACAGTTTGTAATATATGCCATGTATATTCCAAGGAAGAAGAGGTTTCCAATCTATGGTAAATGCTGCTACTAATTGCTCAGTTGAATTTTTTACTATGTGTCTTCTCCCAAATCTCACTGTAACTGTGTCTTCCTCCACTTGATGGAAAGCTTTGACACTTTATTATGTTTCGAAGCAGCCGGGGTATATATCTAATTGATGATTTGTTATCTTATATTTC